CCCGGGACTGCCCGGGCCCGCTCCCAAACACGCCACGACACGCCAAGAGGGCCCTAAATATTGCCAAGACAGCCCCAAGAGGCCCCAGACACGCCGAAGATGGCCTCAGGACGGCCGACGACGCCGCCAAAACGAGGCAAATGCGCCTCCTGAGGCCCCTCCAAAGGGCCCCAGAAGCCGAAAATCATAAATTGTCCGATGGTTTTAAAAGCATTTTTGCGCTCTCGCATGTTCCGCCTCCCCACGGTCGCAGACGGCGTCAGAGGCCCTTCAGATCGCTCCAAGACGGCCGAATAGGCTCCCAAGAAAGCCCAGAGACGGCCCAGGAGGCTCCCCAGATAATTCAAGAGGACCTCGAGAGCGCCCCAAGAGAGCCCCAGGAGCGACCCAGGAGGGCCCGAAGAGCGTGACATTTCAAGGTCTCTGGCCTGAGAGGCTCCTAGTACGCCCCCAGAGGCCATCAAGAGGCTCCCAAGAAGCCCCGCGAGGCTCCCAAGAGTCCCCCCGGAAGCCCCAACAGGCCCCCAAGGGGCCCCCAGGGAAGCCCCCTGCGGGCCCCCAAGACACCTCGGTAAATCGTATTTCCCAGACAGCTTTCCGGGAACATGAATCCTTGAGCTTCCGCCCACCGCCCCAACAATGTTTCCAATAGGCTTGCCGACAAGGCCAAAAAGGCCCCCTCGGTGAGCCCCCAGAGGCCCCCCTCTTAAGAGAGCCGAACAAATCATGCTCCCGAAAAGCTTCTCGGGAACATGATTCTCGGGGTGCCGCCTTCTGCCCAAACCATGTTCCCTAAACGCCTGCCAGGAAAAAAAACGAGAGTCCAAAGCAGCGCTACCTGCCGCCACGTTCGGAAACGCGTCAGGCCCCGAAGCCTCCGGAGGCGCCCAACGACACCCCAACAAATCATGTTCCCAGGAAGCCTTCCGGGAACATATTCCTCAGGCTTCCGCCCCCGGCCCCAACCATGCGTCCCAAAATGCTTGCCGGGCAGCCGCCCAATGGGCCCTCCTACACGCCATCATGTTACCAGAAAGTTCTCCGATAACATGATTCCTCAGGCTTCCGCTCCCCGCACGCAACATCTGTCCCAAAGCGCCTGTCCAGCAGCATTCCAATGGGCCCTCGAGCACGTTCTTGGAAGCCCCACAAGATGCTGATGATGACGATGATGATGTCGAAGGTGACGATGATGATGGTGATGGTGATCGTGATGGTTGTGATGATGCTGACGACGATATCCACGATATCGATGAGGATGGCGATGAGGATGGCGATGGTGACGATTACGATGATCCTAGCTAGAACTTGAGCGCGCGCTTGCGCGATGGTTCTAGTATATATATATATATACATACATATATATATGTATATATATATATATATATATAGTTTCGCCGGCGTTCGATGTCAGGTGATTATCGATGATGTTATTTGGTGTTGCATGTGCGTTGGTTGTTTTTTTGCAGATGCTCGTGTATGGTACATGATATTTGATTTCCGATGTTGGTTTAAGTATGTCGATTTCCGTCGACCGGCGGTTACCGTTTATCTTTCGTTGATTTTCGTCGACTTCTAATGTGTTGTGACTATCTATGGATTTTCCTCGACACCCGATCTTTTTTGATTCGGAGACCGTCGACGTTCGATTTTCGTTTGCTTTCGATATTATTGCATTTGTTGGTGATGTTCGCTGGCATTTGCGATGATCGTTAATTTGTCGCGAGCCAGCTTCTTCCTTAAAGCAACGCCGGCAATGCGAAGTGCGCCGGAATCGAGTCCATTGCATTTTGCGTATCTGGGGCTGTGCCCAGTGGCCGCCATGTGCTTCGTCTCAGCCATGGAGTCCATATTCAGCCCAGAGAAGCCGACAAAGTGACGACAGATACAGGTTTCCGATGGCCCGCTCGGATTACCAACATGAAGTGCGGACCCTAAAGGGAGGGGGGCTTCCGCTAGAGAATTCTTTGCAATCCACACAGACGAAGCTCCCGCCTGAGACTCGGAGCCGAAAAGTGACGACTTTTACAGGATTCCGATGGCCCGCTCGGATTACCAACATGAAGTGCGGACCCCAAAGGGAGGGGGGCTTCCGCTAGAGAATTCTTTGCAATCCACACAGACGAAGCTCCCGCCTGAGACTCGGAGCCGAAAAGTGACGACTGTTACAGGATTCCGATGGCCCGCTCGGATTGCCAACGCGAAGTGCGGGCCCATAGGGAGGGCGCCCCCGCCTTCAATTTCTTCGCACTTCAATCATTCACAGACGAAGCTCCCGCCTGAGACTTCCTTCGGTTTCAATCCAGAAGAGCCGAAAAGTGACGACAATTACAGGATCCTGGTGACCCGCTCGGATTGCCAGCATGAAGTGCGGACCCCATATGGAGGGGGTTCCCGCCTATGACTTCCTCGCAATGCACTCACAACCTCCATTTTCAGTCGGCAGGAGCCGAAAAAGTAACGACAATTGGAGCATCCCGATGACCCGCTTGGATTACCAACATGACGTGCGGACCCATAGGGAGGGGGTTTCCGATTGAGAGTTCCTCACAATTCACTGACAAACGGAGCTCCCGTTCGAGAATTTTCCATAATCGGGCCAGAGGAGCTAAACAACTAACGACACTTACAGGGTTCCGATGCTGTGCCCGCATTGCCGACATGAGGTGCGGGCCTCATAGGGAGGGGTTCCTGCCTAAAATGTCCTGGCAATTCACTCGCAGACGAGGCCCCCGCCTGAGACTTCTCAGGCCAGACAAGTTCAAAAGTGACGACAGGCACAGGGTTCCGATGACCCGCTCGGTTTACCAACGTGAAGTGCGGGCCCCATAGGGAGGGGGTTCCTGCTCGAGACTTCCTCGCGATTCATTCACAGACGAGGCCCTTCTTGTAGATGATCATGACGGGATGGTGCTAATGATGACGATGGTGGTGTGCGCGGGTGATGATGACGACGATGATTCTGATGCCCGGCGATCATTATGGGATCATATTGTGACGATTGAGTGATTGATGGGAGAACGTGAATGAGTGAGAGAGTGAGTGGATGATGATGAATAATGATGTAATTGAACGACAGGTGATGATGATGAGATGATGATGATGATGCTGATGATGATGATGACTGTGATTGTGATGATGATGACGATGGTGATGATGATGATGATGAGGAGGATGATGATGATGATGATGCTTATGATGATGATGCTGATGACTGTGATTGTGATGATGATGACGATGGTGATGATGATGATGATGATGATGATGATGAGGATGAGGATGAGGATGAGGATGAGGATGAGGATGAGGATGAGGATGAGGATGAGGATGAGGATGATGATGATGATGATGATGATGATGATGATGATGATGATGATGATGATGATGATGTATGAGTGTGTGAGGGGGAGAGAGGGGGAGGAGGAGGACTGCGCGGGGTACCCAGACAAAGCAAGAACCCCACTTAGGATGTTGAGAAAAACGAGTCTTGATGAGGTTCGCAACCATCATGTTCCGTGCGTCGCACATTCATTTATACATTGAATACACATGTGTATGCATGAGTGTGTATATGTGTACGTATATACATACATATATATATATATATATGCATATATGCATATATATATATATATTGTTTCGCCGACGTTCGATGCCAGGTGTTTTTCGCTGATGTTATTTGATGTTGCATGTTTGTTGGCTGTTTTTGCAGATGTGCATTGTACATGATATTTGATTTCCGATGTTGGTTTAAGTATGTCGATTTCCGTCGACCTGCAGTGTCCGTTTATCCTTCGTTGATTTTCGCCGACATCTAATGTGTTGTGACTATTTATGGATTTTCCTCGACACCCGATCTTTTTTGATTCGGACACCGTCGACGTTCGATTTTCGTTTGCTTTCGATATTATTGCATTTGCTGGTGATGTTCGCTGGCATTTGCGATGATCGTTAATTTGTCGCGAGCCAGCTTCTTCCTTAAAGCAACGCCGGCAACGCGAAGTGCGCCGGAATCGAATCCATTGCATTTTTCGTATCTGGGGCTGTGCCCAGGGGCCGCCACGTGCTCGCGAATCAGAAGTATTTTCATTTTGTTGCTGCAGATCTTCGAACGCCTCGGGCCCGCTGGGATGGCCCGCTCGGATTGCCAACGTGAAGTGCGGGCCCATAGGGAGGCCGCCCCCGCCTTCAATTTCTTCGCACTTCAGTCATTCACAGACGAAGCTCCCGCCTGAGACTTCCTTCGGTTTCAATCCAGAAGAGCCGAAAAGTGACGACAATTACAGGATCCCGGTGACCCGCTCGGATTGCCAGCATGAAGTGCGGACCCCATATGGAGGGGGTTCCCGCCTATGACTTCCTCGCAATGCACTCTCAATCTCCATTTTCAGTTTTGTTCGGTTTCGTTTTGCTGCTGCAGAGCTCCGAACGCCTCGGGCCCGCTGGGCCGGCCGAGTGGAGCCCCGGTGGGCCCAGGCCGAGCTGGAGCGCCGGGCGGGCCTGCACGGCTCGCCCCTCCCGGCCCCCCCGTCCGAGGGACAAAGAGAGGAGCCTTGAGGAGGAGGAGGAGGAGGAGGAGGAGGAGGACCCAGACCCCCTCGAGCAATGAAAAAATCATGACGGGAGGTTTTTCTCAATTTTCGGCCTCTGGGGGCCCTCACCGGGCCTCGGGAGCGTCAAAAAACGACTCGGGATGACAAACCGGTCCTGGGGAAGGGGTCGAGAACTCTGGGGTCGACGTAATGCAAAATTCATTACGTCGGGGGTCTGGGACGCTGGCTGGCGGTCGCAGCGCTCCAGACGAGGGCGCACGGGAGGAGGAGGGCTCCCCTTGGCTACCCTCCGGCCCTCCCCGACCCCCGAGGGGGAGAGACTGCTTCGAGGAGGAAGAGAGCCTCGGGGGGGAACAGCGAAACCTCCGAGGGAAGAAACGTCAGCTACTGCACCCCCGAGGGAAGAAGAAAAGTTTCGAGGGGGGGAAAACACAACAAGAACACGAGGTGGACCGGCTCCTGAACGAGTCCATGGATGTGTTGCGTCATGACCCTGCCCTCTCCTTCGCCTGGGACCGGGTGCCGTGCACAAGCGCGCTGAAGAGCGAGGTCGTCGAGTCTCTCCGCGGGTATGGCGACCATAAGCCGTCAGCTGTCGCCGACTTCGTCTCGGGCAAGCAGCTCGAGATCGAAGCGCTCAATGGGTACGTTGTCGACTGTGGTCGGGAGCTACGCCTGGATACCCCCTTCAATCGTACTCTTCTGGACAAGTTGCAAGCCATGTCTATCTGAATGGTTCAGGGGCTCTCACTTTGTGCATAGAAGGGGCTATCGACATGAGTTGTTTTTTTTGGTTGCAGCGGCCTGCTGTTCGAAACGGCGTCGCTTAATACTTGACATGCTTGCTTTCGGAGCCGAGCTCTGCTGCGCCACTTCCCTGCCAATCGCGGTGAGGCGCATAGCTGCATGCAGATCGATTTCTCACACCTGTCGATGCCTCAAGCGTAGCGTTAACGCGCACCGATTCTCCAAGATACAACGCTTCGCGTGAGCACAGTCGAACACGCTCTCCTTCCGCTCATGTCTGGTAATTAATATTCCTCCTCCTTCCCTAGGGGAACGAAACATTACCCTGGTGACGTACCCAACCCTTGCGCAATGCAGCATACGTACATCAGGATTGCTACAACGGGGGCGATGACGTAACCTGGACGCATGTGATTTTGCGAGCAGCAATCGGAAGGCTCGCAAGCCCCCGATCAAGATATAAAGGCGTCGTAGTGGTTACTAACGCAGCCCCCCCCAGGGACGGCGAGGTCTCGCTCAGGTCCCCGCGGTGCCTCAGTCCGCAGGACCCACCAGCAGCCCTCGAAAGTGGCGACAGTGTCGCAGATCGCAGCCCCCCAGGGACGGCGAGGTCTCGCTCAGGTCCCCGCGGTGCCTCAGTCCGCTGGACCCACCAGCAGCCCTCGAAAGTGGCGACAGCGTCGCAGATCGCAGCCCCCCAGGGACGGCGAAGTCTCGCTCAGTTCCCCGCGGTGCCTAAGTCCGCAGGACCCACCAGCAGCCCTCGAAAGTGGCGACAGTGCCGCAGATCGCAGCCCCCCCAGGGACTCGCTCAGGTCCCCTGCGGTGCCTCACTCCGCTCGACCAAGCAGCAGCCTTCGAACGTGGCGACAGTGTCGCAGATCGCAGCCTCTCAGGGACGGCGAGGTCTCGCGCAGTTCCCCGCGGTGCCTCAGTCCGCAGGACCCGCAAGCAGCCCTCGAAAGTGGCGACAGTGTCGCAGATCGCAGCCCCCCAGGGACGGCGAGGTTTCGCTCAGGTCCCCGCGGTGCCTCACTCCGCAGGACCCACCAGCAGCCCTCGAAAGTGGCGACGGTGTCGCAGATAGCAGCCCCCCCCCCGGGACGGCGAGGTCTCGCTCAGGTCCCCGCGTCCTCGCGGTGCCTCACTCCGCTGGACCCACCAGCACCCCTCGAAAGTGGCGACAGTGTCGCAGATCGCAGCCCCCCCAAGGGACCTCGCTCAGTTCACCGCTGTGCCTCACTCCGCTCGACCAAGCAGCAGCCCTCCCAAGTGGCGACAGTGTCGCAGGTCGCAGCCCCCCCAGGGACGGCGAGGTCTCGCTCAGGTCCCCGCGGTGCCTCAGTTCGCTGTACCCACAAGCACCCCCCGAAGGCGGCTACAGTGTCGCAGGTCGCAGCGCCCCAGGGACGGCGAGGTCTCGCTCAGGTCCCCGCGGTGCCTCAGTCCGCAGGACCCACCAGCAGCCCTCGAAAGTGGCGACAGTGTCGCAGATCGCAAGCCCCCAGGGACGGCAAGGTCTCGCTCAGATCCCCGCGGCGCCTCAGTCCGCAGGACCCACCAGCAGCCCTCGAAAGTGGCGACAGTGTCGCAGATCGCAGCCCCCTAAGGATGGCGAGGTCTCGCTTAGGTCACCGCGGTGCCTCAGTCCACAGGACCCACCAGCAGCCCTCGAAAGTGGCGACAGTGTCGCATATCGCACCCCCCGGGGATGGCGAGGTTTCGCTCAGGTCCCCGCGGTGCTTCACTCCGCAGGACCCACCAGCAGCCCTCGAAACTGGCGACAGTGTCGCAGGTCGCAGCCCCCAGGGACGGCGAGGTCTCGCTCAGGTCCCCGCGGTGCCTCATTCCGATGGACCCAGCAGCAGCCCTCGAACGTGACGACAGTGTCGCAGATCGCAGCCTCCCAGGGACGGCGAGGTCTCGCTCAGGTCCTCGCGGTGCCTCAGTCCGCAGGACCCGCAAGCAGCCCTCGAAAGTGGCGACAGCGTCGCAGATCGCAGCCCCCCAGGGGCGGCTCCACACACACACACACGCACACACACACACACACACGCACGCACACACACACACACACACACACACACACACACACACACACGCACACGCAACGCACGCACACGCACACCGCACACGCACACGCACACGCGCACACGCACACGCACAACGCACACGCACACGCACAACGCACACGCACAACGCACACGCACACGCACACGCACACGCACACGCACACGCAACACGCACACGCACACGCACACGCACACACGCACACGCACACGCACACGCACACGCACACGCACACGCACACGCACGCACACGCACACGCACACACGCACACGCACACGCACACGCACAAACGCACACGCACTCGCCACGCACACGCACACGCACACGCACACGCACACACGCACACGCACACGACACGCATACGCGCAACGCAAGCATACGCCGCATTTACGCTTACGAATACGCATACGCATACGCGCTTACGCGCACGCGCTACGCGCACGCGCACGGCGCCGCGCACGCGCACGCGCACGCGCACGCGCACGCGCGCCGCGCGCGCGCGCACGCGCACACCGCGCACACGCGCACACACGCGCACACAGCCGCAACCACGCGCACACCACGCGCACACACAGCGCACACACACGCACACACCACGCACACACACGCCACACGCACGCACACGCACGCACACGCACGCTCACACGCACGCGCGCACGCACGCTACACGCACGCACCACGCACGCCACGCACACACGCACACGCACACACGCACGCACACGCCACACACGCACCCACACGCCCACACACGCCCACACACGCCCACACACGCCCACACACACAACAAGCCCACAAGCCCACAAGCCCCCACACGCCCACACACGCCCACACACGCCCACACACGCCCACACACGCCCACACACGCCCACACACGCCCACACACGCCCACACACGCCCACACGCCCACAAGCCCACAAGCCCACAAGCCCACAAGCCCACAAGCCCACAAGCCCACAAGCCCACAAGCCCACAAGCCCACAAGCCCACAAGCCCACAAGCCCACAAGCCCACAAGCCCACAAGCCCACAAGCCCACAAGCCCACAAGCCCACAAGCCCACAAGCCCACAAGCCCACAAGCCCACAAGCCCACAACCCACAAGCCCACAAGCCCACAAGCCCACAAGCCCACAAGGACCCACAAGCCCACAGGCCCAGGCCCAGGCCCACAGGCCCACAGGCCCACAGGCCACAGGCCCACAGGCCCACAGGCCCACAGGCCACAGGCCCACAGGCCCACAGGCCCAGGCCCAGGCCCACAGGCCCACAGGCCCAGGCCCCACAGGCCCACAGCCCACAGGCCCACAGGCCCACAGGCCCACAGGCCCCACAGCCCACAGCCCACAGCCCACAGCCCACAGCCCACAGCCCACAGCCCACAGCCCACAGCCCACAGCCCACAGCCCACAGCCCACAGCCCACAGCCCACAGCCCACGCACACCGCACACCGCACACCGCACACCGCACACCGCACACCGCACACAGCACACAGCACACCGCACACCGCACACGGCACACCGCACACCGCACACCGCACACCGCACACCGCACACCGCACACCGCACACCGCACACCGCACACCGCACACCGCACACCGCACACGGCACACGGCACACCGCACACGGCACACGGCACACGGCACACGGCACACCGCACACCGCACACCGCACACCGCACACCGCACACGGCACACGGCACACGGCACACGGCACACGGCACTCGGCACACGGCACACGGCACACGGCACACGGCACACGGCACACGGCACGTGGCATACGGCACACGGCACACAGCACACGGCACACGGCACACGGTTTACAGCACACAGCACACAGCACACAGCACACAACACACAATACACACCTTACACCACATACCACACACCACACACCACATACCACATACCACACATACACGCACACACACACACACACCACACCACACCACACCACACCACACCACACCACACCACACCACACCACACCACACCACACCACACCACACCACACCACACCACACCACACACCACACGCACACACACACACATTCACATTCACACACACACATACACACACCACACACACACACACGAGGTACGCACGAGACAAGAGGTGACAAGAGGAAAGCGAGAGGCGAGAGGCGGGAGGAGGAGGATTGGATACCCAACCAAGGAGGGTTGGGAAGAACATAGTCCTTCGGGGTCCTCGCCCTCCCCTCCTCTCCTCGCCCCCCCCTCCTCCCCGCCTCTCTTCGCCCTCCGAGGAGGAGGAGGAGGAGGAGGAGGAGGAGGAGGAGGAGGAGGAGGAGGAGGAGGAGGAGGAGGAGGAGGAGGAGGACCCCTTCCCCCTCCAACTTCTGGTGGTGGGGGTGGAAAACAGGCCCCGTCCGTCGTTTCTTCTTCCGCCCCTGTCGGCGGCGAGCCCGGGGGCAGGTGCCGCCCAGTCCTTCTCCTCGCGTTTTGAAGAGAACCGAACAACAAAAACACGACGGGCGGCTTCTCGCGATTTTCGGCCTCTGAGGGTTCTCCTCCTCCTCCTCCGCCTCCTCCTCCTCCTCCTGCGGCGCGGGCGCGCCCGCGGCGATAGCCCCCAGCCCCACGGAGGGGCGCCCTCGCGAGCGCGAGCGCGAGCGCTCGCCCGCCTGGCACCGCAGGGCGCGGCGCCAGCGCTCTGCCGCCCGTGCTCGGCTTCGGCGGCATCGCGATCGCCTGCTGCTGCAGGCGCACCACGGCAGCCAGCCGCCCATGCATGGGCCCCGCGGCGGAGGCCCCCCTGCGGGCCCAGCGCGCGGCCAGCGGCCGCAGGGCGCGGCGCGCGGCGGCGACGGCCCTGCCGTCTCGGGCGGCGGCACCCCTTGCGGCAAGTGCGGCTGCCGCAAGAACGAGGCGTGGTGGCGCTACTGCAAGCACTGCAAGGGCGAACTTGTGCCGACGCAGGCCCCTCCTCGGCGCCCTCGCTCTGCTGAGCGGCGTGTGGTGCAGCGTGCGCCTTGGCACGACGAGGACGGCCTGCGACCTGGGCCAGGTGGCCGAGCCGATACGCCAGGGGGACGGCGTGACGGCTCCAGGGTCCGCTTCGCCTTGTCCAGCGTGGAAGAGCTGCCCAGCGGCAGCGACGCCGACCCCGAGGAGGCCAAGCTGGTGCAGCTCATCAGCTTGCTCCGCC